GGGGGGGTTTGGTTTCCCCCACGCTGATCTCCAGCCTGCAGTGACTGCAGAGGATTGAAAACAATCTGTGACTCCAGAGCAGCAGCTCGGGGACAAATCCTCAATCCCATTAATTATTCCCTGCCTGGATCTGGGCTCCCAGGGACGTTTCCTTGTGGCTCAGCCTGGCCATGGAGATAAAAATCCCTTTCCCAGCCGTTTCCACGTGGAAAATGGGATTCCTGTTCCTCCCATGCCGTGCCAGAGGCCCTGCTGCTGTTGGCATCTTGCTGTGGGTGTGATTTTTGCGTTTTCCCCCATGGGGAAATTCGGGAAATAATATTTAGGACCTAAATTCGAGCAGCCCCTCCCCAACACACAGCTGACCCTGCTGCAAGCCGAGGTGATGGAGGAACTCTCTGCCCACAGAAACTCCAGCTTTTCCAGCACATCCCGAGGAAAATTCCAGCAGCTCTGCCTCCCAAGGGAAGGTTTTTATCTCCCGGGCACGTTCGGAGCTGCGAGGAGGAGCCACCGACTCGTGGCAGGTTTTGTCTGCCGGGCTCCTCCTGCTCTAACAAACCGTGGAGCAGGGAGCACACGGCGTTTGGGGATGGGGGCTGTGATAGTGGCAGCCTCACAAAGGAGCTCCCCCGTCTTCAAGGCTTCCTTTCGTGCTCGGGGCTTTCAGATATTTATTTTTCACTCTCTGGCATCCAGCTGCTGGAGTGGGAGCCAAGGCCGTGGGTTCAGGAGTGCTCCCGTGCCCAGCCGAGCCTGCTCTCATCACTAATCCCTTTTTTTTTCTTCCCGTGCTGTTCCCTCACCTCTCCTCCTCCTGCTTTGTTTTCCAGAAATCCCTTATTTCATTTCTCATGTTTTGTTTCCAGCTTATTTTTGGTTTTGTTTTGCTGTTTTGTTTTTTTTCTGGACCGTTAGCGATGCTTTTGTTTTGTTTTGTTTTGTTTTTTTTACCCCCCTCCTCAGGGTATTGTGTAATCATTGGATCCTATTATTCTAACCCTGTAAATAGACAAAACAACCAGAACATGAAGTTTTTCCTGGTAGTAGCTGTTCCATTACCTGTTGAAATGAATCCCACATAAAAACACCTTTATTCCACACAGATGGACCAAACCCGCCCTGAGCTAATCCTGTAAAAGTGAATTGAGGAAAAGGAAAAGAAAATAAATATTTGTGCAGGTGATGATGTTTGAAGCTGTGCATCCAGGGCCAGCATTCCCATAGGGCTGAACCCCAAGGCTGGGAAGAGGAATGTTTGAAATCAGTACAAAAAAAGGAAAATTCCCATGAGTAACTCCTGCAGGTGTAGTCACAGCAAACTCGGGGATGGTGGCTCCCATCGGCTCTGTCCCTGTGGATTTTTCCTGGATTTTTCCTGGATTTTTCCTGAATTTTTCCTGAATTTTTCCTGGATTTTACCTGGATTTTTCCTGGATTTTTCCTGGAGCTGTGGCTTTGCTGCTGTGTGCAGAGGGAGCATCACTCCCCTGGACATTTCCTCCTTCCTCCCCCATCAAATCCAAGTTCCAGAGAGGAGAGGGAAGGCTTTGACGTGGTGAGGATCCCAGCCTCGCTCCCTCCCTCCCTTCTCTTCCCTGTTTTTCCTCGGGAAGAGCTGGGGTGGGCAGGCACCCCTTGCCTTGCAGGCTGTGGATGAAGGTCCCGTCAGCAGCTGAATTTTTGTTAATCCTGTTGATCCCAGCGATTTTCGGGTGGGGATTTCAGAGCACCCAGCCCCAGCTGAGCAGCCCCAGCCATCCCGTGGATTTTGGGGCACATTCCCATCCTGAGCAGCTCGGGCCAAGCTTTGCTTTGTGCACCCCGAGCCTCCCTCCCAGCGCCCTGATGGACATCCCAGATTTCCCCTCTCCCTAAAGCTTGCAGGAAATTGCAGCCCGATAGGAGCAGAGCCCTGTCCCTTGTCCCTCATTGTCTGGGGGTTGTTTACATCCCCTTTTTTTGTTATCCCATCTCCCTGACTCTGCCCTGACCTCTTTGGTCCATTGTGTGTGGCTGTTGTTGTTCCAGGGAGTTTTTAGGGAGGAGGGTTGGAGCAAACCCTGGGATTACTCAGCCCCAGCCTACTCCTTTTTGGCTCCCTTGCTTTATTCCACCTAAATAATAATAATAATAATAACAATAATAATAATAATAATTCCCTCTAAGTGCACTCTCCCACTGTGGATTTAGGAGCAACTCCCAGACTCGGGATAATCTCCTTGGGGTTTTTTTTTTTTTTTGGATGTCACGTTTCCATAAAACATTCCTCAAAAACTCAGAGACCAAGCAGCAGGATGCTCCTGGAGCCCCATCCTGAATATTGATCCCTGCGTTTTCTCCCCAGGATCTTGATCCTGCAAAGTCGATCAGAGCTGGATCAAATTCTCAAAGGAATTTGGGATTTCCCAGGGGCGGGCTCAGGCAATCCTGCAGTTTTTTGTTGGTTTTTTTTCCAGAGCATCCCCCAGGCTGTTCCCCTGGAGCAGGGCTCGTGCTGTTGCCACTGACAAGTGCAAGTGAGGGCAGGCAGATCCCGGGATGCTGCTGGGGACACGTGCGAGAGGCATTGGGAAGAGCAGGGAAATGTTTATGCTGGGAGGGGACTGCTGACAGCGCAGCTCAAACAGCTGACGTGATTCAGGGCAGCCAGTGCCGTGCAATATTTTGCTTTTTCGCTCCTCTCCTGGGGGGTCAGGCACAAGGGAAGGATCAAATGGGGCTGGCAGGGGCTGTGCTTGGCCAGAGCAGGCATTCAGCAGCTGCAGGCAGGAAGCAGCACCTGGGACTCGGTGTCAGTGGAGACACCAACATTCCTTGGAGATTGTGGCCCCAGGAGGTGTTTGGGTGGTGTCTGGAGCCCCGTGTGTGCTGCAGGGCTGTCAGCAGTGCCAGGGGAATAGCTGGAAAACGTGGAAGTGTTTTGTGCTGGGAGAAGGGAACTCGAGGTGCTGATGTTCTCCTGGGTGGCTGTCGAGGTGGGAATTTGCCTTCCCACGTGTCCCCATCTGGCTGGGTGGGTTCCTGACATTGTGTGCTCATCTCAAACCAGGCTGTCTCTCTTGTTCTGTTTTTAGCATGGCTGACAAGAACAGCACCCTGAAATGCACGTTCTCTGCTCCTGGCCACAGCACCACGCTGCTGCAGGGACTGGCCTCGCTCCGAGCCCAGGCTCAGCTGCTTGATGTCATCCTCACTATAAATAATGAAGTGTTTCAGGTTCATAAAGTTGTCTTGGCTGCCTGCAGTGACTATTTCAGGTGAGAATCCCGTAGGGAAGCAGGCACTTTCACCTTTCCCGTGGGTTTGCTGCCTCCCCGTCCTCCCCCACCCCGACCTCCCCACCACACCCCAAAAGTCCAACCCCACAGAAGCCTTTGGAGGTTTGGATTGCTCCACAGTGTCCTGCAGGCAGGTACAGGTTCAGGATCAGTCTCTGCACTCACATTTGTTCAACTGCAGCTGCTGGGCCAAGGCAGGAGTCCAAGCTCAGTTTTTGGCCTCACCTGGGCAGGTGTTGGTGCTGCTTTTGCTGTTGGAGCCGCTTGAGCCGGTTTGGGAGTGGCAGTGGGGGCTCCCAGATGAGGCACCCCATCCTCCTGGTCCCTTCAACCAGCACTGCTCTGTCTGCAGGGCTCCTGCCCTGGGCTGGGAGCACCAAGGTCCTCGTGTGATCCCAGAAGATCTGGGAGAATTGTCCCAGCCAGTGTGGGCTGAAAGCACCACGAGGAGTTCCTGCAGCCAGAGTAATGCAGAGGAACACAACTGCAGGCAATTCAGCCCTGAGTGAAAATAGGTGTTGGATCCATCTTGCCTCTGTCACAAAATCTCCCAATTGTGGTTGAGGTTGGGAAAGATCTCCAAGGTCATCAAGTTCAAGCTTGTCCCCATCCCAGAGCACCGAGTGCCACGTCCAGGAATCCCTTGGACACCTCCAGGGTGACTCCAAACCTCCCTGGGCAGCCTTTCCCAATTCCTGACCACCCTTTCCATGAGGAAATTTTCCCAAATATCCACCCTGGCCCAGCCTGAGGCTGTTCCCTCTTGTCCTGCTGTCCCCTGGGGGCACAGCCCGACCCTCCCCGGCTGTCCCCTCCTGTCTGGGAGTTGTGCAGAGCCCAAATGTCCCCCCCGAGCCTCCTTTTCTCCTCCTGAGCCCCTTCCCAGCTCCCTCAGCTGCTCCTCAGGACTGACTCTCTCTGTCAAACCCTCTTGGAACAGCTCTGAGTGGGAATCTTGGAGTCTGGGATGTTTTTGGGGCAGCACCAGTGGCAGAGTGAATTGAGGGAGACACCGGGAGCAGGGAAGGCTCAGACTCGCAGAGAACTCGAGCTGGGAGTTGTTCCAGACTCTGGCAGGGATGGAAAGGGGGCTCTTGGTGGGATTTGCAGTCCCTCGATGTGCAGGTCCCTCCCAGCAGGCGAACAGGACCAAGGAGCTTCGCTGGGATGTCTCTGCTGTCCCTCTGCCCATCCTTCAGCAGCTCCCTGCTCATTTTCCAGGCTCTTCCCTCCTCTCTCCCTGGGCTAACACAAACCCTCCTAAACAAAAGCACGACGAATCCTGGAGCTGCTCTCCCCCCAAATGCTGACGGCTCTGTTTTATTCCTCCCTGCTGGCTGCCAGGGTGGTTTCACTGTCAGAATCTGATTTCTGGGTAGGTTCCTCCTCAGAACTTCAGTGGTGCTAAGGAAGGTTGTCCTGGGGAACAATGGCAGAATAATCCAGCTTTTGAAAAAACACTCTGTGTTGTTTTGTTTTGTTTTGTTTTTTTTCTGTGAGAAGGGGGAGGGAAAAGAATGAAATTGAGGCATTTATATAATCAGCACTTTAGAACCTTAACGCTTTTGGAAGGGAATTGCATTCTAGTTGATGATTTGTCTTCAGCATGGCAACAATAAACGCTTTCCTCCCTCCCTGCTCAGCTGGTGCAGGAGCACACACGTGGCCGGGTGTCCTCTGGGCTGGGGGGTCAGGGCTGGGACCTGGCATGTGCAGGGATTTCAGCAGAATTCTCTCATCTGCTGCACGGACAAATAATTGGGAACAGCGTTGCTGGTCACTGGGTTACAGCAGGCTGATCTCACATGCAGATATTTCCTTGTTTAGGTCATTTAGGATTTCTTGGGTTTATGCTGGACGGCAGCAGGTTTTCTAGCCTGGTTTGGACAGGAAACTTGGAACTCCTGTCTTCTGACAGTGCTCCCAAGATATTCCTTTATTCCTGCAGGGTCTGGTCAGCATTTTTTGGGGCTGACTCGCACCTTGGAGTCGGCACAGGCAGCTCTGGTGACACCACGGATTTACCTTTCCCATGGAAAAGAGCAGGTGGAAAAAAAACCAGCCCAAAATGTGCAATTTTAAGAACTTTCGTGTGACAGCTCAGGGGCTTGCTGGGGGGTGTGTGCAGTGGCAGGGGGTGGTGACACTCCACATCACCCCCTTGTCACCCCATGTCACCTACTCTGACCTTTCCTGACCCACAGCTGCTCTGCCACTGCTCCTTGAGGTGCTGCCAGCCAGCCCTGGGCAACAAAACCCTGTGGAACGGGCTGGGAGTGGCCCAAAGGGCTGGGAATGGCCCAAAGGGCTGGGAATGGCCCAAACCCCACCAGTGCAGCCCTGGCCTCCCAGCCCTCGGTGTGGAATGTTCTTCCTGTGCAATTGAGGAGCCTCCCAAGGAGGTGATCCAGGCAGGGCCTGGGCGAGGGATGTGCTCACAGCTGTGCTGTAACTGAGCCTTTCCCCCCCATTTTTGTTTAATTGCCTGTCAGCCCCCTGCTGCTGGCCCTGCTGGAGGGGCTGCAGCTCCCATTTTTTCAGGAAGGAGCCTGGGAGGGGAGGTTCTGCTGGAAGACCAAAGCTGTTCATGAGATGTGTTTGCACCTGCAATTTTTTGAGCCATTTCCTACCTCCCTGCGAGGTAACAGGATGACAGGGCCAGGGATCACTGGCCTGCTAGCACAGGTGTGTTCCTTCCCTGTGCTCCCAAATCCTAAACCTGAAACCCTTCAGGGTGCAGCTCCCAATCTCTGCTGGTGCAGATCCTGTGAGATTCCTTTTTTGTTGCATTCATTGGTGTCCAGAATCGTTCACTCCCTGCTCTGGCAGCTCTGCCTCTTCCTGGAGCTTGGTCCTGTGGTCTGCTCTTATTCCTGCTGCCAGTGGGATTGAAAAACTTCTCCAGTTGCTGAATATTCCTCCTCAGTGCACTGTTTATGCAAGCCTTATGTAAGTCATTGCACACACTCTCATTCCTCCTGGCTCGTAGAGATTTAGCCTTGATTTATTCCCCCCTTCCCCACCCTAAGAGAATCAGAGTGTTAAATAAAACCCAACCCCGAGGTGCTGCACCTTTTGCTTAAACGGCGGGAGGATTTTTTTCGGTTGTATTGCTGACCTGCAGGGTGATCTTTTGCCTAAACAGGGGGGAATTGTTTTTGGTTGTATTGCTGACCTGCAGGGTGATCTTTTGCCTAAACAGGGGGGAATTGTTTTTGGTTGTATTGCTGACCTGCAGGGTGATCTTTTGCCTAAACAGAAGGGAATTTTTTTTGGTTGTGTCCTGACCTGCAGGGCCATGTTCACGGGCGGGATGAGAGAAGCCAGCCAGGACGTGATCGAGCTCAAAGGTGTGTCTGCCAAGGGCCTGAAGCACATCATCGACTTCGCCTACAGCGCCGAGGTCACCCTGGACCTCGACTGCATCCAGGACGTGCTGGGAGCCGCCGTCTTCCTGCAGATGGTGCCGGTGGTGGAGCTGTGTGAGGAGTTCCTCAAGTCAGCCATGAGCGTGGAGACGTGCCTCAACATCGGCCAGATGGCCACCACCTTCAGCCTGGCCTCGCTCAAGGAATCCGTGGACGCCTTCACCTTCAGGCACTTCCTGCAGATCTCCGAGGAGGAGGATTTCCTCCACCTGCCCCTGGAGCGCCTGGTGTTCTTCCTGCAGAGCAACAAGCTCAAGAGCTGCAGCGAGATCGAGCTGTTCCGCGCCGCCGTGCGCTGGCTGCAGTTCGAGCCCGAGCGCCGCGCCAGCGCCAGCCGCGTGCTGTGCCACATCCGCTTCCCTCTCATGAAATCCTCGGAGCTGGTGGACAGCGTGCAGACCCTGGACATCATGGTGGAGGACGTGCTGTGCCGCCAGTACCTGCTGGAGGCTTTCAACTACCAGATCCTGCCCTTCCGGCAGCACGAGATGCAGTCTCCGCGCACGGCCGTGCGCTCGGACGTGCTGTCGCTCGTCACCTTCGGGGGCACCCCGTACACCGACAACGACCGCAGCGTCAGCTCCAGGGTGTTCTGCCTGCCCGACGCCGCCGGCCGCCAGTTCCGCGAGCTCACCCGCATGGAGGTGGGCAGCAGCCACTCGTGCGTGGCCGTGCTGGACAACTTCGTGTACCTGGTGGGAGGGCAGCAGCTGCAGTACCGCAGCGGGGAGGGCGCCGTGGACGTCTCCTACCGCTACGACCCTCACCTCAACCAGTGGCTGCGCATCCAGGCCATGCAGGAGAGCAGGATCCAGTTCCAGCTCAACGTCCTGCGGGGCATGGTTTACGCCACGGGCGGCCGGAACCGCTCGGGCAGCCTGGCCTCGGTGGAGAAATACTGCCCCAAGGACAACGAGTGGAGCTACGTGTGCTCCCTGAAGCGCAGGACCTGGGGCCACGCCGGGGCCACGGCGGGGGACAGGCTCTACATCTCGGGAGGCTACGGCATCTCCGTGGAGGACAAGAAAGCCTTGCACTGTTACGACCCCGCCGCTGATCAGTGGGAGTTCAAAAGCCCCATGAACGAGCCCAGGGTGCTGCACGCCATGGTCAGTGCCAACAGCAGGATTTACGCCCTGGGAGGCCGCATGGACCACGTGGATCGGTGCTTTGATGTCCTGGCCGTGGAATATTACGTCCCCGAGACGGACCAGTGGACCACGGTGAGCCCCATGCGGGCCGGGCAGTCGGAGGCCGGCTGCTGCCTCCTGGAAAAAAAGATTTACATCGTGGGGGGCTACAACTGGCACCTCAACAACGTCACCAGCATCGTGCAGGTCTACAACACCGAGACAGACGAGTGGGAGAGGGATTTGCACTTCCCCGAGTCCTTTGCTGGCATCGCCTGTGCCCCCGTCGTCCTCCCGCAGGTGACGAGCCAGAGGTGACTCCGGGGGCGGCTCTGGGGTTGTGGGAGAGGAAAAAAGGGAAAAAGGGAAAAAATCAGCTCCAGTTCCCTGCTCCAGAAAGTCCTTCCTGCTGCTGGGGAGTGCTGGCAAGGCAGTTCCATCAGCAGCACTTGTCAGCCAGGCAGACTGAACAGATGTTACAGCTGGGAAAAGCTTTTCTCTCCTCTCTCTCTCTCTCTTTTTCTCTCCTCTCTCTCTCCTTTTCTCTCTGTCTCTCTTTTTCTTTTTTGTTTCTTTTTTTTTGTTTTGTTTTGTTTGTGGGGGGTGAATTTTGCCAACTTTTCGTATTTTTAACAGCGTCACTCACTGCAAACATTGGCAGCTCAGGAGTCACTCAGCACTGGGGTTTTGTTTCCAAGAGATCAGGTGGGGGTTTTTTTATCAATAGCTCCAAAAATTAAAAAATCGTCGCCTGTCGCTTTGTCGGTTTTCTAGCAAACAAAAAAAAAAAAAAAAAAGAAAATACCAAAACCTGTGTAACACAGTAACACACCGACCTCCAGAAGCAATAAAAGGACAGTGGGAGCTACAAGAGCTCAGGTGCTTGGATTGGGAAAGCAGATCCCTCTTTTTCAAAGGTGACTTTTCCTCTTTTTCCCCTTCCTGAAAAAGGGAACATTTATCCCTGCACACCTCTGGTCTTCAGTGCTTGGATCACGCTGCAATTCCTCACCCCCTCCATCTCCTCTAGTGCAGAAATTCTCCCTTAATTGGGGCGTGCAGAGTTTGCAGCACTAAAGCCATGGTGAAAGCTTGATTATATATAAACAGGCATGATTATTTGGGTTTAGAAGTGCCAAAAAAATTTGGCTGCCCTGGCAATAAGAGCTCTGCAGCCGTCCATCAGTGAAGCCAAGAGCTCCTGCAGATTCTGGGTCAGGATTTTCACCTTTCCCAGCTCTTCCTCCAGGAAAGGAGGTGGGTGCTACTCCTCCAGCAGCTGGGAGGTTTTTTCTTCCCTGCCACGTGAATGAGCTGCTTGGCATCCCAAAGTGATGGGAGCCCCAGTGGAATGTGGTTTTTGTTGTTGTGGTGATATTTTACACGAAGAGATGGGTTTAAGATGGCTCTGACATTTTTGTGGAACCTTCACTGCACAGAACACTTCCTGAACTTTCCTCTCCTCCAAGCCATTTTCCTTATTTAATTTGATGAATGAATTGCAAAGATCTCTTGCTTTTATCAGGAATTCTGTTTCCAAGGGCTTTGTTTTGTATCTGTGTCAGCTTGATTTGGATGCACACGGTCTCCTTTTGTAGAGAAGCTGTTGCATTCTGCTGTGAAATAAATCCTGGGCTGCAACCTTTAGTGACAACTCGTAATGTCTGGTGAATGCTGCTGAATCCTTGAGAGCTCTGTGCAAAGCAGGAACTGCACACCTCAGAGATTTTTCTGGAATTCAGGGGATCAGGGCAGCTCTGGGTAAGGATGCAGGGCGCTGGCATTCTGAATTTCAGATAAAAGCCATGCAGAATTTCCTCTGTTCCTCTCCATTTGCTGCCTTGCCAATAATAAATCGATGGGGAGGACGTGCTGCTGTGTGGAATGCTGCACTTGGAGGGCTCTCAGGCCTTTAATTGACTCCTTTTCTCTGTTCCTTTGGCCTGGCCTGGCTGCCAGAAACGCCCAGGACGGGCTTGGCAGGGACAGGAGATGCTGGGAGGATGAACTGGAAGCTTCACAGTTATTAAAGAATGGATTTTGAACGCTTGCACATGTTTATTTATTAAAATGTTATTTCTCAGGGGCTGTTCCCCCCTGCCCTGTGTGCAGGATCTGCTGAAGGTGTCTTTGCTTCATCAGAGAGGGGGGTTAGGGGATAAATCCATCCCTGGCAGGGTGGGCAGGGTGGCACAGGGCGCCCAGAGCTGCTGTGGGTGCCCCTGGATCCCTGGCAGTGCCCGAGGCCAGGCTGGACCCGGGGACAGTGGAGGTGTCCCCATGGCAGGGCTGGCCCTGGATGGGCTTTAAGGCCCTTCCCAACCCACAGCACTCTGGAATTCCATGATTCTGCAGCACTCAGATGTTGGTCCCTGCTCTGTTTTAAATTTCCCCCCGTTCCTGTGGCAGCAGGGGGTGGTTTGGGTGCTCTGTAATCCCTGATTTTTTTGGGGGATGTGCAGCCGTGGTTCCCATCCCTCACACTCCTGGAGATCCATCCCTGGAATCCCTTCCTGAGGAAACCAAACTTTGTTTTTCCCTGCAGGCTCTCAGGTAGGTGTGTGTGTGTGTGTGTGTGTTAGGGGGAAGGAGAAAATCCTTGGAGAAAAATGGAAAAGCCTGTTTGGTCTCACTTTTAAGGACAACCTTGCAAAAAATAAATGTAATCCAGGTTTTCATTCCTGTTGGAAGCGTTGTTTTGCAGACTGGAGGATGCACAAAACCCTTGTGGAATTCTCTTTATTAAACAATTGCCTGCCATGAAGCAGAGCTAACCTGGGATTCCCGTTCCTGTTCCCTGCCACTGAGGAGGAGCAGGAGCTGGGAAAAAAATCTGGAGGTCTCTGGATCAGAGCATGGCAGCTCTTTGTTGCTGGAATGTTCTTTTTATAGCAATGTAAATAATTATTTCTCATCAAGAGAGCTGGAAATCTTCTGGCCGCTCTAAATTTAGGAGAGACTCAAATATTTGTGAACCATAAATATTTTGGATGACAAATTTTGCTTGACCCCTGTGCAGGGCATGGAGTTGTGGCTCTGGGCTGGGCTGGGCACAAACTCTCTGATATTCTGACAAGAAATGGGTTTGGTGCTTTTGGTGGAGTCAACAATTGATGGTTCCATGAGGGTTTTCCCATAAATCCAGACGGGATTGTGTGGAAAGAATTCCCAGGATGGAAAGGAGGTGGATCGGGCTCCTCTTTTTTTTTTTTCCTCTTTTCCCGAGGAATGAGCAAAGCCAGACCAATATTTGATTGAGCTTGGAGTCATTGATGGGTCTTGGAGCAGCCACAGAAATTCTGGGGGTGAATTTGGGTGAGTTTGGAAATGCCCCTGGGCAGATGGGGGAGCAGGAGAAGCTGCAGCATGGTCAGCACAGAGCCCGCGTGTCCCTGCAGGGCTGGGACAGCAATCCCTGTCTCCTCTGATGTTTTATGGGCCCGAAATTGTGCTTAAAACTAAAAAGGCAGCCCCGGGAGTCTTGGCAGGGTGGAGAGCAGGGAGATTGGGAATGCCTGCATCCCATTAATGGTGTCACTGACCCTTTTCCAGAGGCTCCCAATCCCACTGTCACTTCTCCCTAGCCCAGAGCCCGGATAATTCACACAGACGTGGCTGCAGCCCTGGAAGCTTTTTAGCAGCAGTGGAAAAATTCAAATTTCTTTGATTCAGACAGAAGGAAGACACTCCCAGCAGCTCCCAGTTAGCCTGGTGCTGGTTTGGAGTGCTGCTGTGGGAGCCACATCAAACCCAGGCAGCAATTCCCACTTCCATGGCTGTGATAAGGGCTGGAGCTGCTGAAACTCCACAAACTTTCGGGACATTTATCACAGCAGGATTATTGGAGCCAGACTACTGTCAGGATAAATAAAACATGTTCCCCAGTGCAGCTCTAATTATGATTTTTAGCCAGTTGTGTAATGTGCAGAACTTTATTTACAATAAATCTTCCAGTTGCTCGCACAAATGAATGGGATTTCATCACTCGTGACTGAAGGAGCAGGAAAAGGGGATGTGGCTGCAGAAATTCAGAATCTGGGAGGACTGAAGGAGCAGGAGCAGGGGATGTGGCTGCAGAAATCCAGAATCTGGGAGGACTGAAGGAGCAGGAGCAGGGGATGTGGCTGCAGAAATCCAGAACCTGGGGGTGTTGGCACATCAGGGGGATGCTCTGTCCTTCCAAGCAGGGCTCAGCTCTCCTGGGTTCCACCTGGGAGCACAGAAATTTCCCCCAGGCCTCTCCCCGAGGTGTTTTGTGCAGAGACAGCTCTGATTCCTCTCTGCATGTTAATGCTGAGTGGGCACAGCAGCATCCCACAGCCTCCAGAACTTTTTGTTTCTCGTTCCCAGCTCCTCACTGAGCTCCAGGAACAGGCACTTCTCTGTTTGATAGCTCAGCTCCAGGGAGAAGTTTCAGCTTTTATTTGTGGGGCAGGGACATTTCTGACTGCTGCAACACTGAGGGTTCCAGAAAATGAACACAAAATGGGTTTTTCTGCTGGGAAACAGCTGCTGGTTGAGCTGTGCCTCCCCAAATCAGCCTCAGGAAATCAGGGAAAGGGTGAGGAGGAAGAGGAGGGTGACAGTTCCCACCCCTGGGAGCGTCCAAGGCCAGGTTGGGGTGCTTGGAGCAACTTGGGGTAGTGGAAGGTGCCCCCTTGGATAATCTTTATCCAGCCCACACCACTCTGGGATTCTCTGAAAGCAGAAAAAGCTGCTGGGGCAAAAGTTTTCAGAAGGTTTTATAAGGCTGGAGAGAGAAATCAAAGCTTCTTGGCTGGGTCCCTGAGGCTTTGCAGCTGCTCTTTCACACCCAGGCCCCTGTAATTAGCTAGAACTGGGTTTTATGTCTTCTTAAGAAATGAAAATCTCTTTTTTTTGGGGGGTTGTTTGTGCAGGCCACCAGCCTGGGCTGCTGCTGGCTGCTCCTCAGCCTTTGAAGTCACTGGGCTTGCACCACATCAGGAGCACCTAAAGCAGAATGGATCCTTTAATATATTTCATTTTTTTTTTTGATCAGCCGGGTCCCAGCTGCACTAAAAGCCATTTTCCATGTGGTTGAATGATGTTTGTAATCAGGCTGCTAATCTGGGCCTGCCCACAGAGCTGGCAATTATTTAGCTTTAAATGCAAAGTTCTTTTTTCCCCATTCCCTGCTGTGGCCTGGGGTGGTGTTTGATCCTCCTTGGGATGCAGAGTGACTTTGTGGCAGGATCAATGCTGGCATTCAGTGCCAGCCCTCCAGGACAGCGGTTCACAGCTGGATTTCACAGGAATGTTTGAATTTCAGGGAGGTTTGGAAGGGAGAAGTTTGCCCCAGGGTGCAGGTAACGTGCCTGGGCTGTTCCTTTTTGCAGGATTTGGGGTTTGCATGACAGGGGAGGCTGCCAAAAGCCTGGGCTGGGTGTTCCTGAGGGAGAAAAATCAGAGTTTTCCCCATGGAAAAGGGGCAGAGGTGCCCTCAGGGTGTCAGCCCTGAGTGCTGCAGCTCCGGGGATAATCCCTGGGCTAAGAGGGACCTTGACAGGTGATTGAAATGGGATTTTGGGGGGAAATGGGAATGGTCCCTGAGACCCGGGAATGATCCCAGGAATGATTTCCACATCCTGGGAATGATCCCAGAGTCTTGGGGATGATCCCCGTGTCCCAGGAATGATCCCGGGAATGATTTCTGTATCCCAGGAATGATTTCTGCATCCCGGGAACGATCCCTGCATCCCGTGTGGAACAAAGCCAAGCCCCGATTCTGGGAAAAGGGGCGGGGAACGGAGCCCTCGACGTGGCTGCCAAAACCTCTCGGAGCAGCAGAAAGCTCCGAGGTGTGGAAATGAGAATGAATTTCTCTCAGCAGTCGCTGTTTGCTTGGATTTCTGTAATTGTAGAATTTACAGGGAATGGTAAAGGAGCGAAGCTGGAAGGGTGACAAGGGAATATTGGTGCAGGGAGCCGAGCCAAGCCTCAGTGCGAGTGGATTTGCTGGGCTGCTGGAGGGGAGAGTGCTTCAGGTGCTTTTATTTGCCCTCTGGAAACAAGGACATCTCAAATTAAAGACATTTTCACCAGTTCCAAGTGAAACAGGAGAATGTTTTCCTACTCCGAGCACGGTTTGGAGCCCGGTTCAGAATAACTGGGGACTCTGAGGATATTCTTCTGCGAGGATAATGGGAATGTCAACAGGAACATTAAGTAGGAAGTGTGAAAGATCAAAATCTTTGTGTCTGCAGGCAAAAAAAAATAAATAAAAGGAACTGCCACCTCATTTGAGGATCACAGCACAGCCTCGAGTGCTGCTCTGGTGCTGTGCGAGTCCCTCAAGCTCCCACCTTCCTGGGACAGCCCCGAGGGACAGCAAGGAGCTGGATTTTGTGTGCCAGGGAGGTTCTGAAGGATGAAACCCAAACGGCAGCTCCTCCCTGCAGCACGGCTGCTCCAGGAGGCCGCAGGTTGCTCCGGGAGGGATTTTGGCAGATGTGGCCACAGCAGCCCCGGCCCCGGGGGTTCTTTGTTTGCTCCGGAGTCTCAGTTACCAAAATCTCTCCCCAAACACGTCTGGAAGGAGCCGGGGGCGCTGCTCTGGGGGGTCCAGTGTGGCTTTCTGGTGAGATGAGGGGGGTTCAGGTGAGATGGGGGGGGTTCAGGTGAGGTGGGGCAGTTCAGGTGAGGTGGGACAGTTCAGGTGAGGTGGAGCAGTTCTGTGAGGTGGAGCTCAGAGATGGCCCCAGGTGTGCTCCAGGTGAGGCAGGAGACAGAAATGGGGCAGGAGTTCATGGCTCTGTCCAAGGAATGTCACAATTCCCCGGGCAAAGGAGCAGACCTGGAGCCCACCACAGCCTCTCCCTGCAGCCCCCAGAGCCACCCCAAACCCGGGGCTCTGAGTGCCTGGGGTGTTCCAGCAGCCCCAAATGTGATTGAGAGGAGCTTGTGCTGCAGACCCGGCTAAAACGTGGGGATTTCAGGTCCAAGCTGGAATTCGATCTGATAAAGCTGCACAGGGAAACAATGAGAATTAAATGAGAATTAAGGGAGGTTTTTAGCGGAGGAAGCTGCACCCCCCTCCTCTTTGCCTCCCTGGCCATCTGCATTCCTTCCCCTCGAAGCAGGAGTGGAGATCCCATCCCAGGAGACCCAAAAGGGGAGAATTTATCAAGCTCCATCTCAGGCACTTCATCCCGCGGTGCTGCAGGAGAGGCAGAGTGGCAGCTGGGGCTGGAGATGTTTGATATCAGCCCCTTCGGGATGAAATCCAGGACAACTCCACCAATTATTTATCATTGTCTCGCTCCTCGAGCGAAAACAATGTGGATAATCAGTATCTCCCCGTTAAATCTCGGTGATGGATGTGCTTTTAGCATGACAGGCCAATTTCGCAGGTCATGTGCTGTTCGTGTACACAGCCGCAGGGATTTTAGGGAGAATGGTGTTTATTCCTGGTGGGAGAGGCGAGGAAGGGGCTGGAGCAGCATCTGCCAGCAGCGAGGGAGGAAGGGCTGGTCCTGCCAGGGGCTGGATGAGCCTTGCCGAGATGGTATCTCAGCTCCTGGTGGAAACGTTAAGTGCAAGTTGGCAGCCAGGATTTAGGGCAGGACGTGACTTTGTGGCTAATCCCGAGGCTGGAATGAGCGTTCATCCATCCATCAGCGGGATAACTGTGGGAAATCACAGGAAAACGGGTGGGAAATGCTGAGAAATAAGTGTTAAACTGGGGTCTGCTCGGTGGGGACCACACCGGTGACAATTCGGGGACTTTCTAAACACGGGGACCAGTTTAGGAAGGAGTTTATTCTGCACAGGCTGCAGAACTTTTCCACAAATCAAACCCGAGGAGTTTCAAACCTCCACACTGCGAGTAATTTTAGCAAACCAAGAAATCGCAGTTCCCTGGCTACAAGTTACCCGATTCTTTATTAATTAATGTTCTGCCTTGCGCCGGTTAATCGATCCTCTCTATTCTCATGTTAATTAGAACGGGCTCAGCCTTTCTCCTCACCCGGCTGCGTTTCTCGTGGTGCCCTGGCATGACAAAGGGCACGGGACCCGTGTGACCCACAGGGGACAGGAGACAACCAGGTGACAACAGCAGGAGGTGACAACAGCAAGAGCCCCGAGGAGGCCACAAAAGCCGGGTTGGTCCTTTTGAAGCTCCTTTTCACTTTTTTTTTTTTTTTTTTTTTTTAAGCTCTTTTTCACTGATAAGGCAGGACCCCGTTCCCAACCTCTGCTCATTATCTGGGAGAATTGTTAATTATTCCTGGCTCTTGATGAAGCAGCAGCCACGCTCCCACGATCCTGCTCTGGTCACATCCCAGTGCAAATCCGAGTTCTGCTGTGTCCATCTCTTAGGGCAGACGGACAACTACGAATCAAAGCGCGATTTTCACGCTGAAGGTATTAAAAGTAAATAAATAAAAGCGTGAAGGAGAGCTCTGGGTGATTTTTTGCAGTTACAGGTGATTTTTGCGTGAAATCCTGATAAACCAAGTCGGGCATCTCCTGTGTGATTTCAGTGAAGTGGGAGAATCGCTGAAGTCGATTTTTCAGGAGACTGAGCAGCCACCACAGAGGGACCGGGACAGGGACAGGGAGAAGGAAAAGGGTGGGGATGGGGACTGGGACTGGGATGGGGACAGGGATGGGGACAGACAGGGACTGGAACCGGGATAGGAATAGGGATGGGGACAGGGAGGGGAACAGGGACGGAGACAGGAATAAGGTCCGGGATCGGGATTAGGATAGACAGAAAAATAGGGGCAGGAACTGGGATAGGGACTGCGACAGGGACTGGAATAGAGATGGGGACAGGGACAGGGACGGGTATAAGGATGGGAGCAGGAATCGGGACAGGAATAAGGTCCGGGATCGGGATTAGGACAGAATAGGGGCAGGAACGGGGAGAGGGATGAGGACAGGGACTGGAAGCGGGACACGGATGGGACAGACACAAGAATAAGAGCAGGGACCGGGAGCGGGACGCCGGCAGGGGCAGGGATGGGGGATAGGGACGGGGAGAGAAGCGGGGACAGGGATGGGGACGGGGACGGGGACGGGGGGACAAGAACCAGAACCGGGTGCGAGCCCCGGGCCCCGCGCGCGCCCCCGCCCCGGGGGAAACCCCGGCCCCGCGCACGCGCGCGCGCCCCCGCCCTCGCCGTCCCTCCCGCGCGCGCCCGGCCCCGCGCATGCGCAACCTCCGCCCCCTCACCGCCCCCTCCCGCCCCGCCGCCGCCGCCGCGCACGCGCCCTGCGGCCGCCCCCCCCTCCCCTCCCTGGGCCGGCGCATGCGCCTCGCCCCCCCTCGGCCGCGGGGAGGGGGATGCGGACGGGGGAAGATGGCGGCCTCGAACAACCCGCGGAAATTCAGCGAGAAGATCGCGCTGCACAACCAGAAGCAGGCGGAGGAGACGGCGGCCTTCGAGGAGGTCATGAAGGACCTGAGCCTGACCCGCGCGCACCGGGTGAGAGTCGGCGCCGCCGCCCCCGGGCCGAGGCGGGCGGGGGGGAGGGTGTGAGGGGCGGCGCCCCCCCCGCAGAGCCCCTCGGGCCGGGGGCAGCGGCGGCGCGCGGCGGGCGGGGCGGGCAGCGCCCCCTGGCGGGGGCGGGCGGCTCCCGCTGTATGGGGGGGGGGGTTAAAGGCCCCCTCAGCCCCCCCCTCACGGCTCCCGGTCCCCCCCACCCCCGGTTTGGCGGCACCGGGCCCGGCCCGCGCCGCCCACCGGGCCCGCAGCATCCTCCGGTGACCGGCACCTGCCGCGGGGGGAGGCCGCGGTGCCGCCCGCTGGAGGGTCGGGACAGCGGCATCACGGAACGGGCCCGGCGGGGAGGGGGCTGCGCTGCGCTGGGCTGGGCTGGGCTGCGGCGGGGCCACCCCCGTGTCCCCTACGAGAGGGCTGAGGAGGCTCCCGGTTTGTCACACCGGGACACGGGATGCCGGATGCTTTGCCGGTGTCTGAGGGGAGATCCCAACTGCATCACCCCGGGACAGGCCCGGCTCTGAGGGGGGATCCCGGCTCCATCACTTCTGGCCAGGCCCCGGCTCTGAAGCGATCTCAATTCCTTCAGCGCGCTCTGAGGAGGTGCTGGCTCCATCCCCCCGCTCTGAGCGGCTCCCCTGTCCCTCATCCCGGGACAGTCCCGGCTCTGAGGGGATCCCAGCCTGGCCTGGAGGGTTCCCCAGCTCCATCCCGGCACAGGCCGGGCTGGGCTCGCCGCTCCGAGCAGGTGTCTCGGATTCTTCGCTGCAGGCTGCCCGTGGCGGGCTGGGGTCCCTCAGAGCCCCCCGGAGCATCCCCGGCTGCAGGCGGGCGCTGCCGGGCTCGCTGTGGCCGGTGTTGTTGCCGTTCCACTCCGGTTGTCGTAGGTGCAAATTGCTGCACTTCCAAAGGCTCCCTTGGCTGGTGCTGTCTCCGCAAAGCCCATCAGCAGAAATTCCCGGCATCACCAATGCGCTTTCCGGGCACGAGATGCCTTTTCTGGTCCACGTTCTGGGATGTCAGGGCTGTTCTTGTTCTCGTCCCACCTGCTTGTGTCAGTGTTTTGTTTTTAACTGTTTCAAGAAAATTTACGAGCCTGTTTGCGGCGGAAGCTTTGCAGGAACAGCAGGACACACGGTTGGATTTGCAGTCAAAGGTTCCCTTTTATTCCTCTGTGTCAGGAGAGGGTAAATATTGCTTTGGAATTGGTGGTGCTGCTGGTTGGATGTAAAGGAAAGGCACCTGCCTGGGAAGGTGTGAGGCTGGAGCTCACCTGGGCGTTGGATGTTCCTGCTGGAGTTAGTTGGGAGCAGAGTGAGGATAATCTGGAGGTGTTTGTAGTCACTGGAATCATCGTGTGTGGCTCAGTTCCCTGGGATTTTGCCTTCAGTGGTCAGCGCTTGCTGCCACTCCAGAGCTGGCTGTTCCTGAGGGACTTCTTGGAATCTGCAATTACAGCTTGTCCCTCAATTAACTCACATGCTGAGCTCCCACCTTCTGCAAGAGAAGGCAGAATCCACATTCATTTCTCCTGAAGCCCATTTCAGTTTCTCCCAAATCCAAGCGCTCCTAACCCAGGTTTTGCCCTTGGAAAGCCATCACACTTTGAAGAACCTGGTTTTGAGGAAAGAACCCAAGATGAATAACTTTTCTGAGCATTCTGGGTACTGAAGTGATGGAAACACTGACCAGAGAGCTGAGTAAAATGTCTCCTTTGTAGACTTTTTCTTTCAAATTCCATGATTTCATCGGGGTTTAAAATGCAGCATAAAAGCAAAAAGGGGTTAAGCACAACTTTGCTGTTTGCTCTCATTTTCATTTGGCAAGCAGCACGTTGCTGTCAGTTTGAAAACGCCTTACTCAGTTGGTGGAAGCAGCCCAGAATTTCTGTTGCCTTTTCATTATTAGTAATTGTCTTTTTGCAATGTTTACCATCTTGTCTGCTTTATTGTTGGTTACTGCTCAGAGCAGAGGCAGAAATCCTGAACTTCCTCTCTCTCATGGTCACCCTCCACCTATTTATGATGTTGGATCCCTGTGGGATTTGGAAGTTCTGATCCGTTGTGATATCAACCCCTCCTTTACCGCCCTCACCAAAAAAAAAAAAAAACAAAACCCAAAATCATTTGAGAAAGAATAAACTTTGTTTTCCCCAGGGTTTCCCGGTAGTGTGGTGCTGTTTTTCAGCTGGCACGGTGCATTTTTGGCATTTCAGCTGTGCTGGGAGGGAGTGGAGGTGGGTGGTCGATGGAAGCTCTGGAGCTGCTTAATTGTCTTGTGAGTGGGACCTTGGTGTTCATAATCCAGAGCTTTCTGCCAGTCCCATAGTAACAAAGTGGGTGAGGAGAGGAGAGGGGGAGTTGTTTTGGTTTTGTTTTTTTTTTTTTTTTCTCTGTGACATTGACTCCTGTGTTTTGTTTGTGGCTCTTCTCCTTCCCTTTTCAAATTTTTTTTTTGTGAGGTTGGGAATTTCAGGACTGCACTGATTTTTCTGGCCTTGTTTACCAGGGCTTGTTTCAATTTCTCAGCCCAGGGATGCTTTGATGCAGCAATTTACTCATCCAAGGATGTTGCTGCCCTTTCAAATTGTAATTAACCAAAAAATGAACGTGCAGATACTGCTGAGCCCTTCAATATGCGACTCTTGAAATGTAAGATTTTTATAGACAATCTGTGACCTGCATTTTAAGGGTGGTTCTTGATGGAGATTTTCTCAGGTTTCCAGGATTGCTTTTTTTCTTTAATATTCACTTAAAGTCATTTAATTTTGAGGGTGTTTAGGCAGAGCTGTGTTTGAGCTCCCTCTGATGGGCCTTACAGTCTTACCTTGGAAAAAAAGAGACCCCCCCCAAACGCCAAAAAGCTGCCAGTGGGTGCTGTCTCCCAGCCCCACCTGCCCTGGAATAAACCCAGGGAATTAAACCCAGGTTAATGGTGATGTTTGGAAACATTGTGCAAAATTTCATCACCTCGGCTTGTGTATTTTTAGGTGTTATCCAAAGTTCTGCGTGGCTTTTGTTGAGTTCCTGAAAACTGTGTGAAGTAAAAAGTCGGTGTTTACATTTTAAACCTGGCTGATTTGAATACAAAATCCTGTTGTGGTTGAATTTTGTCAGGTGGAATATGTCATAATAGCATAAATTTGATTTTTATTTGAAATAAAAATGAAGTAAAACCTCACAGTTTGTTACGGAGTGTGTGTAAAACCCACACAAAATTTGTACTTAAAAATGAGACACTCGGTGGTTTCCTGGTTCCTGTTGCCTGTGGAAGAGATCAAAATGTCTCTGTACATCCCCAGCTCAGCACTGGATGTAGATAATATGCAAAACAGTATTTAAAAGCTTAGTTAAATCAGGAATGCTAATCTGCTTTTAAAAATGAGAAACACTGATGATGATGATGATGGTGATAACACAGAGCTGCAGTGGTTCCTGATGTCTTCAGCAGGTTTTTATTCAATAATGTGATACAAAAGAAATTCCCGATGACGTAAGGGTGGTTTTGAATGTGTGAGAGATATTAAAGAAATGCATCAAAATGAGGACTGAGCCCTCCTAGCAGAGATTGATGCCTCCAGCTGGCAGCTCAGGCTGGAAGTGACTTTCTCTCCAAACGCAAATGGGAATTTTTCAAGCTCTAAAGGGTATTTTTTTTCTTCATGAACTTTCCCAAAGTCTGGAGCCTGAGTTTGCACATTTCCAGGAAATGGTGATTTGGGCTTTATCTGTTCTCACCCACCGGGTGATGAATTTCATTCTGTGATGGATCCCAGCACGGCTGAGGTTGGAAGAGCCCTCCCAGCCCAGCCTGTGTCCCATGCCCAGCTTGTCCCCCCCGAGCGCCACCTCCAGCCCCTCCCGGGCACCCCCTCCAGTACCTGAGCACCCTTTCCACGCCGAAATTCCTGCAGCTGCCCAGCCTGCAAAGCTCGAGGCTGTGTCCTCCTGTCCCGGGGGCTTTGTGGCCGTCCTGGAGCAGGACCCCAGGGAAAACCCCCGGAGACGCTCCAGGTGCTGCCACCACCGCGGGCTGGCCGAGCCGGCCGAGCCCTTAATTCTTTGAAAGAATGTTTGTAAAGGAGCAGGGTGAGAGAGGCAGAGGGACCCGCCAGGGCACAAAGAATCTCTGTTCTTGTGCAAGCCTTGGCTTCCCTCAGCCCGCCTGAGCTGTCCAAGGTAAACACCGAGCTCTGCTCTGCCATCCTGGGAACCTGCAGCGAGCAGGGCAAGGCTTCTTCTGCCAAACCCAAGCAGCTTTTGTTCGATTTTTACTACTTTTTTTTTTAATTTTTAAGGAGGCAATGCCTTTTTTTTTTTTTTTTACTGATTGTCCCATCACTCCCACACAGCACAGCTGCTGCTGGACAAAATCTTTGTGTGTGCAGTGGCCAAATCCCTCGGTGTTAATGGTGTAGCAAAGCTGGGAAGGCTCTGGGAGCACGTGAGGCTGAATTGTACAACTGCTGCATTTTGGGTGTTTGGTTGTAATTCTCAGGGTGAACATGTGGGACTCAGCTCCGGCTGCTGAGCTCGGGTTTTATTTAGCATCAGCACTGGGTGGTAATTTGCATTTATAGAAGGTGCTCATTTAGGAAGAGAATTTGTTCTCAAGGTGAGGTTCAGTCAGTTCTTCCAGTTCTTTGGGGTTGATTTGGGGTTTTCCCCTCCAGGCAAGCTGCAGAGGGGAGCTGAGCCTGTGGTTACACTGAAAAGGAGGAGGTGTGGACACCGATGCTCTTGATTCACCAGGCAGAAATTGAAATTTGTGGTGCTGCCTTTGAGTTCCAGCTGGGACTGTGAAGTGACAGAGGTGCCAAAGGCCTCGGGGACAGGAGGGGCTGATGTTGGGTTCATCGAGTTCTGTGCTGGCCAGGGCTCAGACATCACCCCACAAAACACGGGAATTGTGCCTCCGAGTCCTTCTCAAGAATACCTGGTACTGAAAAATGATTGTAGTGGCAGTGTGGCCTGAGGGCGAGCTAT